GCCGCCGGCAATGCCGGGTAATCGCACGCACGCGAGGGTATCTCTTTTGTGCTCCCTGTTTGTCCACTTCTCGGTCTCTTCTCCCCTCCGCGGGGTCTTGGCGTCACGTTGTTGGTCGCGCTGCGTGGTCGAATGCCCCAGTGGCAAAGCGCGCATGTCGGCCCCACCCCACTTCGGCGCACCCCTCACACGTTTCGTGGCCCCATAGGAAGCTCCACCGAAGGCCCCAGTGGCAGGGTTCGCATGGCGCCACCGCCCCATCTCGGCGCACCCCTCACACGTTTCGTATCCCTAAAGGGAGCTCCACCGAAGGCTTCCAGTGGCAGGGCTCGCGTGGCGCCACCGCACCCATTTCGGCGCACCCCTCACACGCTTCATGGCCCCACACCCCCCAGGGAGCTCCACCGACGGCCCCACTGGCAGGGTTCGCATGGCGGCCCCGCCCCATTTTGGCGCACCCCTCACACGTTTCGTGGCCCCACAGGGAGCTCCATTGAAGGCGGGGCTCACAACTGCGGTACTCACAATTGCATATGGTTGTGTCCTTCGCCAGGATAATGTTTGGTTGTTTTCGCTTTCTGGCTACACATCAGAGTGCGGGGGCCGAACGGTCATTCAGTGTCCATGGGCGCGTGGCTGAAGTGGGGCTCCGCTCGGCGGATTGTCGTTGCGTTGTTGTTGTCGTCGTCCTCGGCGAGACCCCCCCACGACCCACCCGCGACCCGCCAAGTGACTCACCCCGCGACCCACCCGCGACCCACCCGCGACCCACTTGCGACCCACCCGCGACCCACCCCGCGATCCACCCCTAGCCTGCCCCCCTCACTCTTATCCGCAACTGTGGGGGCTATGTAGATGTAGATGTATATTGATATGCACATGTGTACATGCATATCTACATACATGTAAATGTATGTGCGTGTATATGTACATGTATATGCATGTCATATGCACATGCATTTGTGTATGTACAGGGATATGCCTATACTCATGCATGGTCTTATATAGGCAAATCTACATGCTTATGTGGATGCGTACAATGATCAGATGTATACATCCACTTATATGTATGTTTGTATGTGTGTAGACACATAATACATGTGTGTATGTGTAGTGCAAGTGGTCTCGATTTATTCGTGTGTATATATACATGTTTACAGGCCTATGGGTACACGACCACGCATGTGTGTGTATGTTCATATCATGTCTACGTATCGGTAGGCGTATCTATATCTGTGCACATGTACACGTATATGCATATGCACATGTGAAGCTGCCCATGCGTACATATGTATATATATATATATATATATTTATACACATATATATGTGTGTATGTATATGCATATGTTTTCGTATATGCACATGCAGATGTATATGTATTTGTGCATGTGTACGTGTATCTATATGTCAATGCATATGTATATGTACATCTACATGCGTCTATATACAAGTGGCACGTGCGTGCCCAGGCTCATACAAAAAGAACTAAAAGGGTGTTTGAAGCAGGAAGACACCATGACTGCAGGATCGGAGATGGAGACGGGGACGCTGGGGCGGCGCCGCCAGGGCGTGCCTAAGAGAAGGGGAAGAGGCAGGAGGTGAACGCAGAATAATCTAAGATCGAGGTCACACTCGAGCGCAAGTGGGGTTGCCACACCTTGCGATGTGTGTACCAGGGCCCCCCAGGAAACCTCAGGAAGCCCGACTTGGATACCGGAAGAGGCTCCAGGAGGCCCCGGGATTGTGAGTGTTGTGTGTGTGTGTGTGATGTGTGCTCTGTTTTGTGCGTGTTGTCTGTGCGTTGTAGGTGTTGTGTGTGTGTGTGTGTGTTATGTTTGTCTAGCGTGTGATGTGTTGGGTGTGATTTGTGTCTTTGTGTGTGCATGTAGTTCTAAGGCCCCAGGAGGCCCGAGGAGGCCCCAGGCGGCCTCAGGAGGCCCCAGAAGACCCCAGGATGCTCCAGGAGGCCCCAAGAGGCTCCAGGAGGCCGCAGAAGGCCCCAGGAGGTTCCAGGAGACCCCCAGGAGGCTCCGAAGCGGGGTCTGGGGTACCAGAAGGTACAGAAAGCCACAGGAGGCCCCAGGAGGTTCCAGGAGGCTCCCCAGAGGCTCCGAGGCGGGGTCTGGGGTACCAGAAGGTACGTCGGGGCTCGATTTTGGGAGGATGTCTCAGGCGAAATCGCCATTCTCTGATAATCGGGGTCAACATTATTGAAATTACAATGTGTTTTTGACAGTTTTATGTTATAATGTTGAAATTCCCATGTGTTTTTGGACCCTGACGTCACGATCTGCGTGAGGGGTGCCACCGATTTTCAGAATTTCGAGGATGTCCTTAGCGAAACGGCCAAAACAATCGCGGACGCGGCGCCCCGCGTACGCATTAATCGTCTCTGAGCTCTACTCCCTCGGAGAGGTGCGTATGAGAATATCTATCTATCTATCTATCTATCTATCTATCTATCTATCTATCTATCTATCTATATATATATATCGCTATCTATCTATATGTCTATCTATATCTATCTATCTATCTATCTATCTATCTATCTATCTATCTATCTATCTATCTATCTATCTATCTATCTAGCTATCTATCTATCTATCTATCTATATATATATACCTATATATGTCTATCTATCTATCTATCTAACTACCTACCAACCTACCTACCTACCTATCTATCTATCTATCTATATATATATCTATATATCTATATATCTATCTATCTATCTATCTATCTATCTATCTATCTATCTATCTATCTATCTATCTATATCTATCTATATCTCTCTATATACATATATATATATATATATATATATATATATATATATCTGTCGGGGTACGGGGCCGGGGGCCTCTGGCCAGGTGCCTCGACTCGCTATGGGGGGACCCCCCCCCCAGGCCTCTCCATAGCCGCTCCTGGGCGTTTCCCGAGCGGCTCTGGACGGACCCTGGTGATGTTTCTGCACCAGGAATGGTTCCCATCTTCGACCCATGTCGCCGAAGCACGTGGTAGAGGTTTCGGGAGGCCTCCAACATGGCTCCAGACGCTTCCAGGAGCACTCCCAAGAGAGCCCTGGGAGGCCAAAATTGATGGTTTTCCGACGGTTTTGTAAGGATTTTGGCCTTCTGCTTTTTTCGGTTATACGACGCTCCAAGACGGCCCAGGAGGTCTCCAGGTCCGCCCCCAAGCAGCCCCAGAGGCCCCCAAGACAAGCCCAAGGCGGCCCCGGAGAGCCCAATGGTTGGCCCAAGAAGCGCCCACGACAGCCCAAGAAGGCTCCAAAACAAGCCCAAGAAGGGCCCAAGAGAGGGACCGCGTACCGAACACCCAGGGCTCCCGCCTCAACAGTGACCCCGGAGGCCCCAGGCAGCTCCCAAGAGTCTTCCAACATGGCTCCAAACGCTTCCGGCCCCAGCAGGCCAACAATCGATGGTTCACAATAGTTTTGGCAGGGTTTCTGCCTTCTGATCTTTCCGGCTGTCCGACGCTCCTAGGCGGCTCAGGTGGCCTCCGAGACCGCCCCGAAACAGCTCCAGAAGCGCCCAAGGCCGCCCCGAGGCGGTCCCGGAGAGCCCAAGGCTGGCCCAAGAAGCGCCCAGGGCAGCCCACGAGTGCCCCAAAACAGGCCCGAGAGGTGTCCAAGAGACGGACCGCGTCCGGAAAACCCAGGGCTTCCGCCTCAAGAGAGCCCCAGGAGGCCCCAGGTAGTTCCCAAGAGGCTTCAAACATGGCTCAAGACGCCTCCAGGAGCACCCCCAAGAGGGTCCCAACCGGCCAACATCGTTCATTCTACGTAGGAATTGGAGGATCTTGGCCTTCTTGTCTTTTCGGCTTTCCGACGCTCCAACAGGGCCCAGCGCGCCTCCAGGTCCGCTCCCAAACAGCCCTAGGCGGGCCCAGAGAGCCCCAGGGAGCCCGCAAGACCGGCCCTACGCAACCCAAAGTTCCTCGGCAGGATAGTCCGGGAGGGGGGAAGAGCGGGGGAGCCTTTGGCGCCCCATGCTCCGGGAACGCTCCTCCGAAACATGGCGTGCGAACTTGAGCGGAGTGCACGCAGCCGTGTTCGTGGTAAGAATCGTCGCGGGCAGCGCACCTGAGCGGTGACCTCAACTAGAACCTGAGCGCGCGCGAAGCGCGCGCGATGGTTCTAGTATATATATATATATATATTCATGTATATGTACGTGCATCTATGTATACACATTCATATGTGTGTTTATACGTATACTTTTACGCACCCGTATATGCATACGTATAGCTTTAGGTACGTGTATATGTTCATGTGAATGCATATGTATCATGTGTATGTGTATGTGCACATGCATCGGTATCGACGTATGTATACGCGTGTGTGTATATATATGTATATATATATATGTATGCATATGTTTACCTGCGTTCATATTTGTTATATATATATATATATGCAATATGACGCTGGCGCATCGCGTCATACATCTTGCTGCTCCTAAAAGTTTCGAAACATATCACCGGATCGAGCATATGATCAGAGTCGTCCAAGGGGGTGGTAATGTAATGTACGGGACTCGGATGCTGATTCGTTTGGCCCGACGTTCCCGCAGGGCCAGCGAGCTTGCGTGATGAATGCATGCACCTGAGCTCACAGGAGTCGAACTGATCGAGGGACGCCAGTGCTCAGCATCATGAGACCAATCCCAATCCCCACAGTGAAAGCTTCGACCCCGCTGTCCGAACTACCCCCTTAGGTGGGGATAGATGCGTCTCCGTCGGGTTGCGCGGCATCAATCCCCATCTCGAGGGGGTATGCTGCTGCGCTGAGGAGCCCTGGTCCATTGGGGATGGGGATGCGTTTGAGGAGGTTGAAGTGCCTCTCGCAGTGGACTTCGCTCCACTTCCCGCCCTCCCCCATTCCCTCCCACCCCGCGCTCAACACGGGGTGGGCGACCCAGAGCTCCCTGTGCCCCCCCCCGCACGGCCGCCGCCCGCAGCCTTCTACCTCGCCCTGATGCTCTGGTGCTTCCTGGGGGTTCAGATCGTGTGCGATGAGTTCATGGCCGCCATCGAGGAGATCACCAGCAAGACCAAGACGGTAAAGTGGGTAGCACCGGACGGCGTCCAGCGGACCATCCCCGTCCGTGTCTGGAACGCCACGGTGGCGAATCTGACGCTCATGGCTCTGGGCTCGTCCGCGCCAGAGATCCTTATCAGTGTGATCGAGCTTGTGACTGGCGACTGGTCCGCGGGCAGGCTCAGGGGCGAACCAAGCTGGGGACCAGCGCGGGGGGAGACGTCGACTTTCGGTCGCCTGCTCGTCGCTGCCAGTGCCTTGTGTGCCGGGCCGGGCACAGGACCCTGCCAGTTTGCCCCCAGGGGCCCTGCCAGCGGCGTGTCGGCGATGCATCGGCGGCTCTCAGGGTGATGTGGGCATCCCTCTTCGCATCCTTCCTGCTGTCTCCTCCTTCTCCTCAGGCCTCGGGTCTGCGGATTGTTTCCTCCTGTCTCCTGCTCCTCCTCCAGCCTCCTCCTCCTCCGCCTCCTCCTCCTCCTTCCCCTCCTCCTTGCCCTCCCTCCTCCATCCCCCCCTCCCAGCCGCCGTCCCGGCCCAGGGGTTTTTGGGTGCTGATCCCAGGGATCAGCGAAGCCCCTTCCTGGACAGAGGCCATACGCGCTGGCCCGCCTCTAGTCGAGGCGGCTGGCCGTGCCATTGCAGCTCGCTCCGTGGCAGGCTCCGGGCCCTCCGCCACGGCTCGCGCGAGCTTCCCCCCCGAGCCCGCGTGGCACAGGAGGGAACGGGCTCGACGCTCGCAGGATCGCGTGCTGGTGAGAATCGCGGCTGCAGCCCGCCGCCTGGACCAGCACCACAGCAGTATGACGTATGCCTTCGACAAGCGTGGCGCCACTCCAGGAGTGCGCCGAGGCGGCCAGCTGCCGCCACGTTTCTGGGAATGCTCTTCCAGCTCCAGGGCGAACATCTACAGCTCATCGACGTGCAGATTCTGTTCGCACCCCGCGACGCAGCCCGACGCCCTGCACGACGAGTGCGACGACGACGAGGACTCCAGCGAGTGGATCCAAGGGCGACCAGGGCGGCGACATCGCAGCCGCCCACCCAAGGCCAAGACGCAGCAACAGCCTCAGTGGAAGACAGGAACTGCGCCATGGCATACCTGGTCGTGGGACCCCGCCACAGTGCCGCCTCAGCGCTCACAGAGCGCGGCACCAGCCAAGGAGACAGCCACGCAGCCCGCGCCTCCACCTCTGCCGCGGCCAGCAGAGCCAGAGGTCGCGCAGGCGCACAGGCTGTGGCTCCCCCCGCCGAACTCAGTCAAGGAGCTCAAGGCGCACCGCGCGAGGCTGAAGGAGTCGCTAGACGCTATCGAACGACAGATCCACTCGGCCTACGAGATGGGTCAGACGCGCACGGTCATCAGTGCGCTAGAGCAGGACTACTCGGTCATCTTGTACCAGGTCATGTACGCTCGAGATGCCAAAACGAGAGTGGATCAGCAGAAGGCATACCTCGACCGCATACGCAAGCGACTTAGTGACGCACAGAAGCATGAGAAGGATTTGCAGGAGCAAGCCAAGGTCGCGGCCGCTCACACGCACAGCCTCATCGAGGATGTTAAGAAAGCGGAGGAGTTGCTCGACCACTTCACACAGCTGGAGAAGGCTGAGCGAGATGAACAAGGTTCGGCAATGCAAGTCGAGCCCGACAGTGCTGCTACGGATGCCACAGCAGCGCACCAGAGAACACCAGCGAACGCTTCGGCAGTGGCGCAGCTCGCAGCCATGCAGGCCACCAACATCGACCTGTCAGAGAAGCTGCTAGCACAGACAGCCCAGATGGCCACCATCCAAGCGGCGCTCAACATCCAGGTGCAGAACGGCAACAAGCCCGCCGTCCCGCAGTCCCAGCAGGCGGCTTCACCTGGGCCAGGGGCGCCAGCCGCGCCGCCAGCCGTCTCCGCCGTGGGGCAGGCTCAGCTGCCCACGTCGTGGCCGCCCCCCCCCCCCCCCCATCAGCCAATGGGGGAGCGTCGCCAGTGGAGGCCGCTGCGCGCGCAGCCGAGGAGGCAGCCGACCCAGGAGGCGACGGCGGCCCGCCCGCGGCGCAGCGCCGCATGGGAGGCGCCCGCAAGGCCACCCCAGCGGCAGGCCGATCATGAGGTCGAGCGCACACGCCGCATCGTGCTCCAGGACAGAACATCCTGAAGGTCGCTTTCGACAAGACAGCTCAAAGGCAGAAAGCAGCCAATGCAGCCAGCAACGTGCACTCGGACGGCTCTGCAGATGATGGCGACATGGAGGGCACAGCGGCCGCAGAGCCGAAGAGTGAGCAGGCTCCAGTTGCCAGCACTGAGCAACCAGCTGTGCATGTCAGCGCTGAGCCGCCAGAAAGCGATCTGTGACAAACAGATATGTCTGCAGTGGAAGTGCATGCGCCGCTGCAGACAGCAGACGGCCTAGAGGATTGTCCCACTCCGCCTCCCTCTCCCTCCGCTGTGCAGAGTCTGAACCACCTTGGTCTCAGTCTCAGCCCACTGCCCGCCCTGGCTCCGACTAAGGACCTATTTCTAAGGAGATGGAGTACACCTCTGGGAACCGACATACATACGTATGCACAGTTTTGGCACTCTACGACTATCAATGCCTTGGGCAAATTATCTTCGACTCCTGGCCCCGGGATGGAACCTGCAAGTGTTCCCGCCAGGATCGATATCTACACAGGCGGAACCGCTGGCGGTTTCAAGAATTGGAATGACTCAAATTGCCCTCCAGCTTGGTCATTCGTTGTCATTGCGGAAAAAGAAGCTCACAGGTGGCTTCTCGGTTGCGCTGCTCGTACCATCTCCGCCTCGAGCATATATCATCCGTCGCTGCTGTCAGCAGTTGCGGAGTTTGAGGCGGCCATGTGGGCCGCCGCATGGTGCATGCACCATGCGGACATACACAACATATCTGTGACGATGCACACCGATAACATGGAGGTGGTCAGAGGTGCTTGTCTGGGGGCCCTCAAGGGTAATATTTTGGAGCTCAAACGTATTCTGGATGGGCTCGTTCAGGTCCTCAAACGGCAGGCGCAGGCTTTCACTTGGGCCCATATTTCAGGTCACCAGGGAGCCCCTTGGAATGAGATGGCGGACACCCTTGCCAGACATGTTGCCATGGACATTTTGCTTGAGTGCACAGACTTTCAATGGAGAGTCCAACTGGACCTGCCATGGCACGCTCGGGCAATTCCGTGGCTGTGGACAGATTTTCTCAGTACCGAGCAGCGCTCACAGTATCCGCCTGTGCATAGGGTGCCGTTGCCGCCAGCCCTGAATCCCACCACCTCCATGAAGGATTACATGCCAGCTCCCGCGGAAGCCGCCACCCCCGCCATGGGTCACAGACTACAGCATAGAACGCCCAAGTTCTGGGTCGCTAGCGCCAACGTTCTTACCCTACATCCCAACGATGGCTTACAGGACTCTACGGGTCCAGGGCCTGGAAGGCTCATGCAGTTGGCTACGCAGTTTTCTGCTCAACGGTATCCCTTGGTTGGGGCTCTGGAGACTAGGTTACGTGTGCACAAAGCACAGACTGTGGGTGAATACTTCATCCTGCACTCTACTGCTACCCCTCTGGGCTCGGACGGGTGTGCTCTGTGGATCCACGAGGGTATCGAGTACCTACCAGGCCGCCGTATCACTAAGCAGATGTCGAGTATTATCACCTTTGCAGTCTCCTGCGGTCAAGGTTGCCGAGTGGTGGGACACCGCTCTACAGCTCGTGAGGAATACACGCCTCGGTGCGGAACATCTCATCACCCTAGGCGACTCCAACGCTGCGCTGGGAAGCGTTGCCTCGCCAGCTGTGGGCAAACAGGATGAGGAAGAGGAGGATTTAGCCGGAGTGCACTTCCATCGGTTCCTCCTGGACACACAACAATGGGCTCCCTCTACGTTCCTCCCTTCCTACTCGGGCATATCGGGCTCCTGGACGGCACCTTCCAATAAAAAACAAGGCACGGTGCAGAGACTATGTAACTACTTCGGACAGTGTGGTCGTCTTGCAGCAGGGCGTGGGCGGAGTAGTGGATCTTACTGTCGCTCAGGAGGATCATCAGGCTGTAGGTGCCTTATTTCTCTTGCATCCCTCAGGTTGCATACAGGAGATCACATCCACTCACCGTATTGAATCGCTTCGCTCATTCCGCCGGCCCATAGTGTAGCGTCGCTGGCACTTGCTTGCGTGCTCGGGGGGGCATTTGGGTGGCCTCCTGGGGCCGCTTGGTGGCCTCTTGGGGGCCTCCTGAGGGCCTGTTGGGGGCCTCTTGGGGCCTCTTAGGGGCCTCTTGGGGCCTCCTGGGGACTTCTGAGGGCCGAGGGCTCGAAATATTGTTTCGTGTTCCCCCCCTGGGGTCCCTCTTGGGGCGTTCTTGGGGCCCTCTTGGGCCGTCTTGGAGGCCTCTTGGGCCGTCTTGGAGCCCTCTTGGGCCGTCTTGGGGCCCTCTTGGGGGCCTCTTGGGCCCTCTTGGGGCGGTCTTGGGGGCCTCTTGGGCCGTCTTGGGGTGTCGTGAAGCCGAAAAGGTGGAAACGCCAAAATCTCTCCAAAACCTAAGGAAAAGCAGTGAATTTTGCCTCTTGGGGCCCTCTCGGGAGTGCTCTTGGAGGCCTCTTGGGGCGTCTGGGGGCCATCGTGGGCGTCTTGGAGCGATCTTGTGGCATCTCGGACCCCTCATGTAGCATCTTGGGGGCCTCTTGGAAGCCTCTTGGCCCTTCTTGGGGCTCTCGGGGACGTCTCGGAGCCGCGTTGGTGCGCTGCTGGAGCGCCCTGGTGACTCCTCCCGGGGCTCTCTCGGGACCTTGCCGGGGTACTTTCCGCCCGGGGCCCCCAGGGGCCGCCTCGCGCGCGCGAAGTAGAAATATTGTAAAGCAGTCACCGGAGATCTTAGCACGCCTCTGGCCCGTTGGGCCGGCGAATACCACGCGATCCAGCTTTGCTCCAGGGCCCCGAGGCCAGGGCAGCCTTCATGCAGTTGCTCCAAAGGGCCCCTCATGTGGAGTTCGCTACACACAGCTCGGATCACACATATTCTGGACCTACATGTACGTACATGCGTGCAAGAAGCTTTCCCGTGAAGACTACGGACAGGGGGCGACAGCCGCGGCAGGGCTGGATTCAGAGGGATACAATGAGTGCCATTGACCTACGCACAAAGGCGCTAAGGCAGGCTCGCCAGGTGCGGAGCACGGCAGCCAGGGCAGCTAGTGCAGTTGTTTTTTTTTTTCTGTGGGCGCAACATACGCGCAGTGCTCGGCTGCTAGACCTACACTTTTTTCGGACGGCCTCTTACCACCCTCCCTCCCAGTCCCGCTACGGTGGTCCCATCTTGGGAACGGTGCCGTCGTGCTTTCAACGGTCTTGGGGGGCTCTCAGGGGCGCCATGGCTGCCTCTGCTGCTATGCAAAATGCCGATCTGTCTAAAAGAAGACGGGCCAAGTGGCTCCGACTTGCTCATCGGCCTGTGGACCGACTCTCCGTCATCTCGGACCCTGCTAGCATCCTCGGGTTGGGGGGCTCTGTCTTGGAGTTTCAGGAGGCCCTCTGGGAGCACATTCAGGACGTGGAGGGCAAGACTCTTGCCATTAGGGAGCTCTTCCAACTACACAACACATATGTGATCAAATTCTTGTCAAAGCAGAACGCCATGATGCACTACTACGGACTAGCCGACATGTTGCAGTCTGAGGGGGGCAAAAATGCCACAGACAAGGCGTTTGCTACTCTACGACGCATGGGTGCAGGGTCTAAGAAGAAACTTGTGGTGCAAGCCTTCCCGGTAGTCAGAGGCAAGGATGGCCAGCCAGCTACCGCAGCAACGCAGGCAGCCAACATTTGGTTTTCACACTTTGGCAGAGAGGAATGCTCTGCCATTGTTCCGCTCGAGCATGCCCAGGATATTCTCGACATCCTACCCCCGCTGGAGATGGGTACTGACAGGCAAATACCAGATGCAGATGTTTTCCTCCCCTCACTCGCCGACTTCCAGACAGCCTGCTCTCGTGCGAGGCCCAGTGCAGCCAGCATTGACGGCGTCGCAGGACGCCTGCTGGCCAATTGTGGGCCCGAGCTGGCTGAGCTCTACTGTCCAGTCGTTGTGAAAGCCATCCTGCGACTTGAAGAACCACAACAATGGAAGGGGGGCTCATACTGGCAGATGTGGAAACGATCTGGGGACCCATCCTGGCCTCAACACTCAAGGGCCGTCATGGTTTCTCCGCAGTTGGGCAGAAAATGCAAGTCCCTGGCCCGTACTCCTCTCGCAGTTGCTCTGCCAGAATATGCTGGTGAATCTCAATTTGGGGGCATTGCTGGAAGGGGAGTGGATCTAGCTGGCCTAGCTATGCGCACGTTTCAAAACATTGCCGAAATCAAGCACACCTCCATCATGTACCTACTCATCGACGTAGTACAGGCTTTCTACAAATCTGTCCGACAGCTGGTCATGCGATCAGGACACGCACAGGAGGACTTAGCCTTGCTCCTCAAGACGACAGGCCTACCACCTGAGGCCATGCAGCGTCTAATGGAGAGGTTACGTACACAGGAGACCAGTCTTACCGCAGCTCGAGTTGGTCCTCATGTCCAGGCCCTAGTGGCCTCATCCTACCAGGGTGCTTGGTTTCACTATCCAGGTTCGTCTTTGGTCGCGTTTTCTATGATTGGGACGGTCCCGGGGCAGCAGCTGGGAGATGACATTTTCAATTTCATCATGGCGGAATGTATGCAACTAGCTAAGGACCAACTCCAGCACCTGGATCTTGCATTTAGGGTACCTACGCTGCCAGGAGCTTCTCTCACACAGATGATGGAGCACGAACCTGCAGAGACACAACCCGCCTTAGATGTGCTCTTTTTCGACGACGGCGCGTTTGCCATGATAGGCGAACCACTCAAGCTGCTGGAGCAAGTGCCTCAGATTGCAAGCACGGTGGCAGCATCATTTGCGTCCAGAGGTCTTTCTCTCAATTTCAAGCCTGGGAAGACGGAGATCCTCTTCCAATTTCACGGGCAGCATGCTAGAGCGGCTCAGCTCAAGCTTTGGAAGCACATGAAAGGCAAGTGGGGATGGGAGGACCACATCATGGGGCACATGAGTCTTAGCGCTGTGAGGCAATGCCCCCACTTGGGCACCATCTTGGATGAAAGAGGCAGTTTGGGCCCCGAAGTGGCTCATCGTATCGCGGGCACTACCTCTTCGGCGAATGTCTTGGGCAGGCAAGTGTTCAAAGTGGTCCCCAAGAGCCCCGAGGCCCTCATCGTGAAGATGCGTTTTGTGGACTCACTACTTACCTCTTCTTTGCTGTTCAACGCTGGCACGTGGTGTAATGTGGAACGTGGTGCACACGACAAACTTAGGCATACTATGCTTAGGAGGTGCTGGACTGCGTGTGGCATGCCACAATGTGACGACACTGCTACAGCGGGTCGAACAGTTCTTGCTACGGTCCAGAGGTCCGACCTGTCAGACCAAATTCGCGTCCACAGATTACGTCTCCTGGGCAGGGTCATCCGTTTTGGGTCCGACACCATCGAGGGCTTACTCACCACGGCGTATGGGGCCTACTCGGGACCCAAGGGCAAAACCTCCTGGCTTCACCATGTTACGGACGATCTGGTCTGGCTCAGAAAAGTCAGCAAGCAGCTTCGAGAGTTACCAGACCCACGCGACGACTTCGCACCCTGGGGGCGAAGAGCACAGTCTTCTCTTCCTGCATGGGAGCGCCTTCTCAAGGAGGCCATGGCAGGATCGGCACGAGCGGAAGCGAATGCTGCCCTTGCAGAGGGAGCTGCAAAGAAGTTTTTCTCTATCGTCCAGCCTAGCGGCTTCCCGTTGCCCATCACGGATCCAGAGCACCCTTTGCGACAGGCAGAAATCATTCCGCAGCCAGACCTCACGTGCCCTTGGTGTGCGACACATTTCTACAAGCCCAGGTCCCTACGACAGCATATCGTTCAGAACCACTTCCGTATGGTGTCGCAGGTTGAACGATTTCTAGGACGCAGCTCAGAATGCCAGGCCTGTTGCACGGAATACGCCTCGAGAAGGCAGCTACGCGATCATCTTGCATACGACTCAGCTCGATGCTGTCTTGCGTGCATGTGCCGAGGTCAGCAGTTGGAGCATGAAGAGGCGGTTATGGCCGCTGAGGAGGATAGGATGCTGTGTGCTAAGAGGAGAAAGGACGGTCTTGGGCGCTGGCGCACGGCGTACCCCGCTACGCTGGGCACCAAGGAGTGTCTTTGGGAGTCTGCTTGGGTCTTCTCGCATCTCACGGAGACGGAGGCTCGCCTAGTCCTGCAAGAGACCCACTACGAGTTCCCCATAGAGGCCCTACCGATCCTACTTCGTGCTTGGTACGACTCCCGCGGGGCCCCTACGTCAGAACCACCGCGGGCCCAGTTCGAGGATAGGTATTATATTTTCCGACCTAACGACTACTGTGTCATATCTACTATGGCTGTGCCGTACAAGTTGCGACGACCTGAAGTATTCATGTTGAACCTCTTCTGTGGTCGGCGCCGACCAGGCGACATTCAATGGCGTCTATCCGACCTACAGGCCACATCTGACATCCAAGTCACCACGCTGTCTCTGGACATTGCCATCGACCACATCTGGGGAGATCTGACTCGGGAGGCCACGATACAATAATGGTCGGAACATATTATTCACCGCAGGGTCTGGGTTACAGGGGGAGGGGGGGGGGGGGGCACCATGCGAGACTTGGAGTGCTGCTCGCTGGAACGACGGGGGCCCTCCCCCTTTGCGCGCGCAATCATGCATCTGGGGAGTGCCGTGGTGTACGGAGGCGCAACGCATGCAGGTACGCACGGGCAATCTCTTACTGTTTACAATTGCCCAATTGCTTGCCGAGCATATCCGCGCAGGCACGTGCGGGTGGATAGAACATCCACCTCCTGCTCTCTGGCGCCCACAAGCGCCTTCCAGCTTCCAGTGGATGCCTATGCGTGCTTTGGAGAGCTGCCCACTTGTAAGTACTATCCAGTTTGATCCGTGTGTGCATCGTGACGGGAATCTTAAGGAGCACGGGAGAGGAGCTACCCGCATCCTGGCCCTACGTCTACCTCGACTCTACAGTTTGCTAAAAACTCGTAACAATGGTTTCTGCAACCACGGGAAGAATGTCCACTTGTCCCTGGTGGGCAAGAACGACGACGGTACTTTCAAAACGAGTAGCAAGAAGACGTGCCCACCATCCATGTGCAGTGCTATCGCTACAGCCATTTGGGACGCTATTTTTACTGCATTTAACTCGGAGGCAGGAGATCCTCCAGAAATGCCAGCCACCACGGATTTCGACGATGCTGTCCTGCGTCAATTTTATGTACCCTGGTCGGACCACGAACAGTTCTGGGAGGCTCCCGACTATGCCGGCAGCCTCAGGGTCAAACGTAAAGTTGATCCTGAAAGGTGGCGTTGGGACCCTCCTGGCTCCCCTCCTCCGCCTCTTCCCCTGCCCCTTCCGTGCCTCCCGAGGTTCCTCTGTCCGTGGCCCTAGAGGATCCGCGGCCGCAGGAGTCCGCTTGCGACCTCGAGGCGGAGGCGGTCTGCCCCGCCCTTGGCTCGGCTACCTTAGCCGTCCCCCCTCCTCTTCCTCCTCCTCCTCCTCCTCCTCCTCCGCTCGCTCAGCTCACGCCTGAGCAGCTTGAACGCATTGGCAGGAACCGTGCAGAAGCCAAAGAGCGCAAGCGCAAACGCGTCGCGCCATGGCATTTCGAGGCCATTCTGTGGCCCCACGGGTAATTTGTCTTGTTCCTTTTTCGGCCCCAGGGTGACATCGGCCCCAGAGGACCTTCAAGGCGCACGACCCCAAGAGATAGACAGAGCACGACCCAGCGTCCCAGCCTGCGTCCGACCGACCGACCCTCCCTCCCCTCAGAGCTGCGACCGCTTGCGAGTTCTACCCCGACGGGTCCAGTCGACGCTGGGGTATCGGACGCCCCCGCTCTGATCTACTCGGCTGCAGGCGTGCTTCAAAGTCCGAGCCCCAGTCGGTGCTTCAGAATCTGGCCTGCAGGGGTAGGGTTCACGTGTGGTTGCTTTCGGGCGGGTCTGGGACGAGGAGAAATCCGTTCCAGAGCATTGCATAACGCTCTCAGAGCATTCCAAAACGCTCTGAAAAGGCCGCGGCGCCTGATACATCCTCTAGAGCCGCCAGATCTCAGAGATTCTCGACTTACCCTCACCCGAATTTATCCTCGCCCTGGCTTCGTCTTATGCTTCTGAGAGGCTCGGCCCGTCCACGGTGGTCGGCAGCGCCGCGTTCAACCTCTTCGTCATCACCGGGGTCGCCGGGCAGCCAGCCAGCCCGTAGGGATGGGGGCCGGGAGGTCCACGAGGCAGGTCAGGGCTCGACCTAAGCGGTGTTTTGGCGATTTCGTGGGCCGTTTCGTTCCGATTTCGTTTTGCAGCGGAGGCGGAACGAAGACAAAACGAGGGGACGCGAAAACAAGACGAAAACGAGATGCGCTGTTTTGTCAGATGAGGAAAGAACACACAGACACAAACCAAACATGGGAAGTGGGGGGGAAGGCAGAAACCCAGCAAATATGGGAACATGTGGGGAATCTTTCTATTTGTGTGTATTTATTTGTGTGTCCTGGGGCCCCTTCATTTTGGTCCAGCCCGTGAGGCAGGGGCGCGGGGAGGGGGCCGGAGGCAGGAGGCCGGGGCACCTCTGGGCTGCGCCGCCGTGCTGCTCTGCCTCGTCGCCGCGGCCTCGTGTGTTCTGAGCGGTGGGTGCTGGCTGTGGCGGGCGAGGCGCGAGGCCCCCGAGGGAGGAGCGCGGATGTAGGGGGCCACATGCGAACCCTACCCCTGCCCCCCACGATTTCTGAGGTGGAGGGTGGGGTTCACTTCGCTCGGGAGCTCCCCAATGGAGTGAACCCCACCCTCCCCCTCAGAAATCGTGGGGGGCAGGGGTAGGGTTCGCATGTGGCCCCCTAGGATGGGACATCCAGGGGGTGAGGGCGACGCAGGAGGCGGAGGCGCGAGGCGAGGTGCGCGAGGCGATTCGGCGCGCCCAGGACGGTGTGGGCGACAACCGGCCGTGGTGTGAGCGGCACAAGGGCATTGGGAAAGGAGGAGGAGGAGGAGGAGGAGGAGGAGGAGGAGGAGGAGGAGGAGGAGGAGGAGGAGGAGGAGGGGGAGGAGGAAGAAACGGATTGTGATGATGATGATGATGATGATGATGATGATGATGATGATGATGATGATGATGATGATGATGATGATGATGATGATGATGATGAGGATGATGATGATGATGATGATGATGATGATGATGATGATGATGATGATGATGATGATGAGGATGATGAGGATGATGCTGATGATGATCGGTCAGGGGGCGAATCCCCCCCTGCGTTTTAACATATCGTATTCTGTGGGAGGCGGAGCGCGTCGTTTGCTTGCTGCTGGTGTCGGCGCGGTATACCCGCTGTGCTTTTTTTCATCGGCGCTGACTCCCTTCTCTCTCTCTCTCTTTCTCTCTCTGTCTCTCTTTGTTGTTTTCTCTCTCTCTCTCTATTTTTCCCAAGCTTCAGCCTAAGCATTGCGTAAGCCTGGCCTACGCCTCAGCCTCAGCCTCAGCACCAGCCCCCGCCTAGCCTCAGCCGAAACCAAGCCTCAGCCTCAGCCTAGCCTAAACCCAGCGTGAGCGTAAGTTTCAGCCTACGCCTCAACCTATCCTACACCTCAGCCTAAGCCTAGCGTGGGTCTCGGTTTCACGTCTAAGCATTGGCGTGCGCCCCAGCCTCAGCCTAGCCTAAGGCTAGCGTAAGCCTCAGCCTAGCCCAAACCTCAGCCTCAGCCTACGTTTCAGCGTCAGCCTAGCAGAAGCTTCAGCCGCAGCCTAAACCCAGCCTCACCCTAAGCCTCACCCTAAGCCTCAGGCGAAGCCGATCCTGAGCCTCAGCCTCAATCAGGCTATTACAATATGCGGTTTTTACTACTACCACATGACTACTTGAGTACTACTATTACTACTACTACTACTACTACTACTACTACTACTACTACTACTACTACTACTACTACTACTACTACTACTACTGCGACTACTACTACTACTACTACTACTACTACTACTACTACTACTACTGCTGCTGCTGCTACTACTACTACTACTACTGCTACTCTCACCACTACTACTACTACTACTACTACTACTACTACTACTACTACTACTACTACTGCTACGTTGACTATTACTACTACTACTACTACTACGACTACGACTACTGCTACTATCACGATTACTACGACTACTACGACTACTACGGGGACGTCGACTACTACTATTACTACTACTACTACTACCACTACTACTGCTACTGCTTTTATTATTACTACTACTACACTACTTCTACCATTAGTCCTGCTACGACCTACGATCTACCACTACTACGACTACTACTACTACTACTACTACTACTACTACTACTACTACTACTACTCGTACTACTACTACAACTGCTGCTACTACTACTACTACTACGGCTACTCCTACTACTACTGTTACTACACTATTACTACTACTCTAGTTTCCAAGTGCGACTACCCCCGCATGGTTAGTACTACTAGAACAGTACTGCCGTACTTGAGTGCTGCTACAACACTGAAGCATCACAATGCTGTACTACTCCGACAGCTCCCACTACAACGTTGCCACTACTACCGTACCAGAGTCTCAATGCGACGTCTATAGAACGTTACTGCTGCGACACGAGGGTACGGCTACCGTGTTTGAGCACCCCAATGCTAATTCATTCTGCTACTACTACTACTACTACTACCACTACTACTACTACTACTACTACTACTACTACTACTACTACGACTATTACGATTACTACTACGTCGACTACTACTACTACTACTACCACTACCACCACGATTATTATTACTACTACTACTACTACCACCAGTACTACTGCTACGACGACGACTACCACCATCACTACTACTACTACTACTACTACTACTACTACTACTACTACTACTGCTAATGCCAGCATCTGAGTATTATGTGTGCACTACTTCAGTACCACCACTGCAGTATTATTGCTACAATATTGTATTACGACTGTTGCAGCGCCACCATTGCAGCTCTACATCTTAGAATACGACCACCGTGCCGCGATATTACGGCACTAGGATGCTCATTTTACAGTCCTGCGGTGCACTCACTGCAGACAGTTGTAGGGGACTGCTTTCGCGCATAGTGTTTTAGAGCGCTGCGCCTACAGCACAACTCATATAATAGTGCATCACCATACCACACTTGTACAAGTCAAGCACATCACTAGCCCTACAGCGCTACCGCTAAACCCATACAGCCCGAATACACGACTGCTGGATTCGAGTACTACAGTAGTGGATTATGTCTACTACAGTTACTGCAAGACCTGAGTGCCACTACATTCACTAGGCTCTTACGTCGCTGCCACTTCATTAATGAAATACTGCGACTGGCTTAGCATTGTATTATAGTACCACTCGTGCAGTACTGAAGTACCACTTCGTCAGTACTATTGATACCGTGTTGTATTTGGACTAGTACAGCGTCACCTCTACAGCACCATTATATTATAATGCGACAGCAGTGCTGCGATACTACGGCGTTGAGGTATTCCTGTTGCAGCGCTGTAGTACAGTCGCTGCATGAAGTCGTGCAGTACTACGATCACGCATAATGGACTTTTTTTCATGGTTTTTTTCCACAGCGGTTCCACAATTGTACATCACTTTCCCCACAGCACGACGACTAACGCATTCCAGACCGGGAATGTGAATGCTGTGCTCGAGAGCCACAGTAGTGTATTATTCCGACTACACGTTGCAGTGCGGCTCAACAATCAGTACTCAGGTAATAGATGGATTGCAAGACTTGGGTTCTGCTATTATTATTACTACGACGACGGCATCAACCGCAAAGGTACTACTCTGCTGTCGCGCCATTGATGCAATACTACGACGGCAACCCCAACATGCTGCAGTAGTAGGGCACAACGACTGTTGCAGTACAGCATTGTGAATACGACTACGACTGCGACTACGATTAGTAGCCGTAGTAATGGTACTACTACTACTGCTGGTATTATGTCTACCGCTACCACTGCTACAGCTACTATTCGTGTCATTACGATTGCTACTACTACGTTTGCTACTACTACTACTACTACTACTACTACTACTGCTGCCACTACTACTACTACTACTACTACTACTACTACTACTATTACTACTACTACTACTACTACTACTACTACTACTACTACTCCTGATCTCACTACGAATACTGCTGCTACCACTTTTACTACTAGTATTGCTGCGACTACTACTACGACTTCTACTCCGACTACTACTAGTACTGCTACTACTACTATTACCACTACTACTACCACTACTACTACTACTACCACCACTACTACTACTACTACTACTACTACGACTACTACTACTACTACTAGTAGTATTACTTTTGGTACTACCACTACAACTACCACTACTACTACTACTACTTCTACTACTACTACTACTACTTACTACTAGTACTAGTACTAGTACTAGTACTATACTAGTACTACTACTACTTATTACTACCACTACTGCTACCACTACTACGGCTACTACTACTACTACTACTACTACTACTACTACTACTACTACTACTAACTACTAAACTACTACTACTAACTACTACTAACTACTAACTACTAACTACTAACTACTAACTACTAAATACTACTACGACTACTACTACCACTACTACTACTACTACCACTACTACTACTACTACTACTACTACTCTACTACTACTTACTACTACTACTACTACTACTACTACTACTACTACTACTATACTACTCCTGCTGCCTGCTACTAGTACTACTACTACTACTACTACTACTACTACTACTACTACTACTACTACTACTACTACTACTACTACTACTACTACTACTACTACTACTACTACTACTACTACTACTACTACTACTACTACTACTACTACTACTACTACTACTACTACTACTACTACTACTACTACTACTACTACTACTGCTACAACTGTCTTGCTGTGCTGCTGCTGCTACTTCTACTACTACTACTACTACTACTACACTACTACTACTACTACTACTACTAACTACTACTACTACTACTACTACTACTACTACTACTACTACTACTACTACTACTACTACTACTACTACTACTACTACTACTACTACTACTACTACTACTACTACTACTACTACTACTACTACTACTACTACCTAC